CCTTTTAAAACTGTGTGTTGAAAGTGTGCATAGATATCCTGTACAAAAATGTTAATATGAAATCAAAAGTGACCGTATTTACTTATTTACTATTTACTATAGTGAACACTTCACCAGTACATTATTCTAAAGACAAGAAAAGGTTGTCTATTATGAAAATAGAATTATTTGCTTCACCAGAAACAACTTTCCTTTTTAGCTCAAGATACATTTTCTGAAAATAAGTCTTATTATGTTATGCAATTTTGCATCTCGGGTAAATTGAACTTGTTTAAAAATATTAACCCAGTAAAGCCTGATATGTGAAAGAAATATATATTTTTAAATGGAGCATTTTATTGAACATTTAGACAAAAAAAAAAAGTTTGCATATGGTGTTTTTATGTTTTGTGTCATATTTGATATATCAGGCATTTATGGCTCATATAGTGTGATAGATTGAGAATATGGAGCTCATACAACAGCTCAATTTTATTCAGACGCCCAAACTGAGCAAAAATATGCAATTTGGTGCAGATGATGATATAGGGCTAAATGATAGATTGAGAATATGGAGCTCATACTTGAGGAGGAAAAAATATTGGTGCAGATGATGATATAAGGTTAAAAAGTAAGATGAAATTCTGATGCTTGTAATATAAATCAGTGAGATCTTTATAACCGTATAGCAGATTTGCATACAGTGGGTATAGAACAGAATCACCCCCCTTTAAAATAATCACATTTTGTTGTTTTGCAATGTCCTTGCATGGCCTAGCCAGAGCCCAGACTTAAACAGTACTGAATCTGAATCTCATAGCATGTCCTGTGCTCTTGTGTTTCAGTTATGGCATCATGTTCAGCTGCTGGAGCGCTGATCCAGTGGACCGACCCGACTTCACACAGGTTAGGAAGAGGCTGGAGAATCTGGCAGGGAAGCTTCCCGCGGTTTCCAGCAGGAAGGACATCATCTACATCAACACCAGCTTCCTCGAGGAGGAAGAGGAGTTACCCGGCGAGGCGGCGGAGGGCCCTGTGCTCACACCCTCACCCTCCTGTAGTCGTCAAACCACAGACACTTCAGTAGTGACGGCGGATGTTCACAAGAGCACAGACGCAGAGGACGACCGGTACGTTGTCGTCATTTCCTCTGGGGACCATGAGGCGAGAAGCACTGTAGACATTGTAGATACGCCACTACAGAATCACAGACTCTTGGAACAGGACAGCGAAGAAACGGTCAGGCACGTGACGGCGACGCAGCAAACATCTAGTGACACCACACATTTGCTCTGATGGGAAGTTGAAATGCAGCAGAAAATTGACTTTTTGTGGTATCCAACTGAAGTATATTTTGTCAAAAAACTGAATAAATAATGATTTTATTCAGACAGGTTTCTTGAACACCCATCTGCCATTGTTGGACAAACAGTGGCAAACTCACACCATTGGTTGAGTTAAAGGAATAGTTCGCCCAAAAATGAAAATTTGTTGAAAATGTACCCACCCTCAGGCCATATAAAATCTAGATGAGTTTGTTTCTTCATCAGATTTGGAGAAATGTAGCATTGCATCACTTGCTCACTAATGGATCCTCTGCAGTGAATGACTGCCGTCAGAATGAGAGTCCAAACAGCTGATAAAAAATCACAATAATCCACAAGTAATCCACACCACTTCAGTCCAGCAGTTAATGTCTTGTAAAGAGAAAAGCTGCGTTTGTAAGAAACAAATCCATCAAGGCATATTTATTTAGATCTGTTTTAGCTTGTAAACAGTGCTTGATCTGTGCACATTTCTCTCCTGATTCAGACAAGACAATCATTTTACTGGAGAAAGCAATATTATGGATTATGAACTCATATTTTAGCCAGAAGCAATGGTTTAAAGTTAAAAACATCTTTATGGATCTGTTAATTACAGACATGCCGTTTATGAATTACTTGCATTACCTGTGGATTATTGTGATGTTTTTATCAGCTGTTTGGACTCTCATTCTGACGGCACCCATTCACTGCAGAGGATTAATTATTATGTAATAATATTTCACAATATCACTATTTTTACTGTATTTTTGGTCAAATAAAGAGACCTCTTTCAAAATCATTTAAAAATCTTACCAACTCCAAGTGTTTGAACAGTAGTGTCTGTGAATAGCTACGACAACAAATCTCTGATTTCATCTCGTGCAAAATGTCAAATCGAGTGCAGTGTGAATAAAACCTCGTTGCATGTTTGACCTCACATATTTCACAGTGCACAGAAACACGATGGACCCTAAACTCACCTGGTGGACCCTGTCTGAAAGCTTTACCATGGTATTATCTCATGCTGATATACAGACCGCAAAACTGTGATGCTACAAATGTTTGAAAACAAGCCCTGTATTTTTCTGAAGTGATGAAGAGACTGTTATGTAATATAATGTAATTGTGTTCAGGAGTTATAAAATTAAGCTAAATTGTGATTTTAAGCATTTTGTGAACTTTGTTTTTGCATAGAATCCAATTTGTATATTAGAAATGCATTTGGTAAATATAAAGAACAAGCTGTTTTTCTTATATAGTCTTTTTTATATTTTAACTTGGAAGTTAAACTGACATGAAGAAACTCAGAATCTTTAGAGAAATCTACAGAAGTGTTTAAATGTGAAGTATTTTATTACTGTAGCTTCTGATTGAGGTGCAGTAGTGATATCTGCATTAATTTGAGATTGAGAGTGTGCAATTAATTACTGCCATTATGAACAATGTCTTATTAAATACTGCTAACAAAATAAAGTTTGCTTTGAAGTGCTGCCATAAATGTTATCTGAAATGTTGTCTAGTAATAGTCAGAATGCGCCATTTATTAATATTGTTCACTTATGATTTCAGTGGCAGAAAGGCAGAAGCCCGCCCAGAGTGTTTTTATACCATTGCTTACATCGGGCTCTGAGGCTGGACTAGTGATCTTCTTATGTGTCTCTAGATGCCGTAGCATTACAAAGTCAAGTGAACTCAGTAGATATGACCATACCCAAATTATGAGGCAATCTGCACAACCATTAAAAAAAAGATATTGAAGTTATAAGGTGAAACTACTATCTCCATAGGGTTTCAACCCTGTTTTAAAGCAATTTGTTAATTTCTAAATAAATCAATAATGTATAAACGTTATTATTTACAGGCATTACAATATTAAATAAATCAAGGTAAAATTATCCGTTTCTTTTTTAATAACTGACTCAAGTTATTTCCATCTCCTGCTGCTGACAAACAAATGAAAAAAAAAAAACCTTTTTAGATGGTCTCTTATTTTTCCAGCACAAAGAGACAGACATTTGTAAGATATTCAGTGAAAATATGATATCCTGCTGAGAAAGTTTTGTGATTTTCATTACATTGGCTGGAGCCTAATAAAAAAATATTTTGAAAAAATATATTTTATTCTAGAGGACATCAGGACAAAGTTATTCAAAAAAAATAAATAAATAAATAAAAATAGACATGAAAAGGCATACATAGGCATGATTTATTTTTTTATTATATTTTTTTCATTCACCAGTCAGTTTTTAGGTTTCAGACTATTTTTAACCAAACTTTGTACAAAGCTGATTCTCAACTAGCCTATGTTATGAAAGATGAAACAGAATGATTTGATATACTATTTTACTTTATGCAATATGTGCGTAAAATGTCCATAAATTGATATTCTCATTTTATTCAATGTATCTATACACTGCATCTAGTTTGCATATTAATGTGTTCTTGGGGCAAACCATAATGAAAAAAGAAGTGTTATAATGAGAGTAATAACTTGGCAACATTTTCATAAGAATATCTCATATTTCATAGAAATATTGATCTATAATTTCTTTCCCTATTGTCTTGTTGTGTACTGTACGCGCACCATCCTTAAAGAGCAACATTTCCAAATACTTCACAAAATGTACCCATAGCTCTTTCTAAATTCATGGACATTGACAATAATTGCATTTTCTGTGACGCACATGAGGAAGACTTGTCTCAGTTGTTTTATAATTGTGATTTGTCTTTTAGATTTTGGTCTGATGTTAGTGCCTTTTTATTTGTTCAAAGAAATGTTAATTACACGCTCTCTTTACAAGATGTTATTTGCACTTATTCACACAAAAGCAAAATGATTGCGTATGTCCTTAACTTTTACATTTTGCAAGGTAAATATTACATTCATAAACAAAAAAATTGCGAAATGCATACCAAAATGTAATTTATTTGTATTAGAAATGAATCTTTGAAAGAGTCTCTAATGCAAATTAATAACAAAAAGAATAACATACTGTTAGATTTCATGGAGGAATTTTTTTCTTGTAGGTATAGTTCCCCCACTGTAGTCCTTGATTTTGTCTTAAGGAAGAAAATTTGAACTGTTGTTTAGTTGTTTATATGTATGTTTTATTTATTTATTTTTATTTTAGTTTTTTTTTCTTTCTCTCTTCTCTTAAATGCTGTTTTACAGATTAAGATTGTTCTTCTTTCTTGTGTATGTGGATTTGATTGTTCAAATTTATTGTAATGTTCAATAATTTCTTCAATAATAAAAAATAAATAAAAATTTAAAAATTTAAAAATTTAAAAATTTAATACAAAGCGCACCATCCGATTTTTGACGGCATGACGTGTCGTGCCACGCGCACAGGTGTGTGTGTGTGTGTGTGTGTGTGTGTGTGTGTGTGTGTGTGTGTGT